GGCAAGGCTAGCTTGGGGCTTCTGCTCTGCAGCTCCAAGGCCCATGGTTTTGTCACTTTAGGATTCCAATTTAGGACTTAGGGTGTCTTGGGAACTGTATTCGAGGCTGAGGAGATGCTAGGACGCAACGACTCGGAAATTAGGTACCCGAAACGAGAGGACAGGGAGTAAGCCTCTTTTGGACCCTGAACTCCAGCCGAAACCCTTTGGTGGCAAGCCTCCTAAGCCCCAGAATCCTGAGCTCCCTTGCATCCAGGCTTCGAAAATCTACTCAACCCAAGCCCCCCCCACAAGAGTTGCTGCCCGGAAGCCGCCACGGCCAGGTGTCTTGAGGGGGTCTTTCGCTTGAAAGCGGAGTCCGACAAGAACAAGGTGTGGGGTCTGGGGCTTGGGGTTTAGGGGGGCTGGTCCAAGTCAGACTCCTACTAAGTCCTAAGACAACACGAGGTAGCGCGCGCACTCAGGCCAGCAGTCAAGCAAAGATGCCACCTAGAACCCACGAAGCCAATCCTAGACTCGACAAGCCCTACGTAAACCCTATAAATCCTACAGGTTCTAATTTTTCCCTATACTTGAGTCAACCTCTCCTTGCACCAGGACATTCTGGTAGAGTCCATGGCCTTAAAGCCCACCTGGGTTGCCCACAACAAATCTTCCCAGAAAAAGACTCACAAGAGCCCAGAAGCCCTAAACCCCAAGACCCAAGGACCTACCTATAAACCCTCAACCCTAAACCCTGAATAACAGCCCTCAGCGACAGCACTGCACGACCCTGGCTCGCACTACCTCGGTGCCCTCAATGCACTAGCTCGCGGGGTTGGCCCAGCTCTTCTGTGCAAGTTTCGGGTGGTTTTTTCAGATTTTAGGCTGCTTGTGTTCTCAGGACTTCGAAACAGGGGTTGGGGGGGAAATTAGCCAAAGGTTGTTAGGAATCGACCCCCTTGTAACCCGTCGTGGCCGACCCCGCGTTTTTTCGAGTCTACAGCACGACTCGAGGGCGGGGGGCGCCCTGCCTTGAGCCTGAGCAGCATTCCGGGGGCTCGCATGCTTGAGCTAGCGGTTGTGGGGTGCTTCGCGCTCTGCCACAGTTTTCAACTTTGGGGTTCAAAGCTGTTCACTTACAAGTGCGCAAGGTGCAGCGTGGTACGGTAAAGGTGGTAGTTGTGGAGAGCCTTCAGGACTTCGTTCCTCTAGCAGGTGCGTTGGCGAGCAAAGCCACAAGCTACTCACCCTCCATCTTGCAAAAGTCACGGAGGCTCCGTCTGCTGTCGCGCAGCCCAGTGTCGAGTTGCGGCTGATGCAATACACATCTCCGGAACTCGCTCCACCTCAAGCCTGTGCCACCTCAAACACAGAGCCCTGCCATAGTTACCGCTTCAGCCTTCAACGACCCCCTTAAAGAAAACCGAGCGCGGAAGTCTCAAACCCACTTTGACACCCTTGAGCACTCGAGTAACGGTAAGTGACGCTTTGTTTCTCTTGCCGCACTTACTGCCGAAACATCGGTTGCGCGGCCCCTGCTTCTGCCAAAGCTTCCGGATTGAGATACCATGTGGGTGCAGTAGAGTTTGGGACGTAGGCTGCAATTGGGCTTTAGGGCCCTAAACCCTAAACCCTAAACCCTAAACCCTAAACCCTAAACCCTAAACCCCATGGGGCATACAAGATGGCATTAGTTTCTGCGTGAGGACGAGAAGGTTTGGTTTCGGCACTCCCAGCTCTTCTTCGCTCTTAGCTTTTGCAGCCAGGGAATGAATGAAACATCTTTGGCCTTCAGGTGTTGGGTACATGAATCGATTTCACTTGGTTCTTGCGGAAGCCCCCTAGATCTGGCCCTTCTTCCAATATCCTGAGACGCCCAGCTGGGGCAGGGAAGCTGGGCCAAGAGGTTATGAAGTTTGGGATTTCGGGTCTTACCGCCCCGCGGAAGGCAATGGCACATGTGAGTCTGTTCAATAAGGCCGGGCTCAGAAGCAAACGAAGCTCCCTCCCCAAATCTTTTCTGCTGACCCTATATAACGGGACTAAACTAATCCCTATACAAACCCAAGGCTTGCCCCCAAAGCCCTTGACAGGAGCCTTTTGCAAGCCTAAGAACCCTTTCACAAAAACATAAAAAAGCTCGTGGCCTATAGGCTTCTGAGCCGGCTAGCCCAGAGGGCCGGTTCTAGCCCTCAGGGCCGGTTCTAGCATGCGCTGGCTCAAGGAACCGAGCTTGGCTTTCTTGAGGGTTTAGGCTTCTGTTATTACCAGGGTTTAGGGCCTCTAAGGCCAAAGTCGTTTAGGGTTTAGAATGAAGGGTGTAGGCCCAGTGTGCGCTTGAAATGACTTGAAGGTTCCTAGAACGGTTTAGAACAGTGTTGCACGCTGTGCCTGTATTTCTAACTGCCAGTCTACATATCGCACTTCTTTTCACAAGCCATGAATCTCCACGGAGGGCTTCAATGCTAAACCCTGACCTGAGTGCTGTACAGAATTGAAGATGTGTTTTGTGCCTTCGTTACTTATTGGGTACACTAGCGTCTCCGGAATTAAGGTAAAAGGCCGCTCTAGCTAGAGCATGGATGTTGGGTCTAGGGTTTAGACCGAGGGTTCAAGGGCTTATAAGCATGAGTTGAGGGTTGAGTGTGTGGGCGACAGGGTCCGTTGAAGCACCAGGCGCATGTCTGGAGAGTAATTGGCATAATTTTACAGTACACATTTTGCACTGGAGGGAGGGCCTTTGGCCGCCTCCAGCAAAAATCCGGCGCGAGTTTTGCAGCCCATAGCCTTTGAAGCGGTGCTCCTCTGGAGCTGCGTAGTTGGTAGCTGGACATCTCAGAGTCGCAGAAGCTGCTGCTTAGTGTCCATGGGCTTGCTGAATTCAGTCTGCAACTCTGAGGCAGGATGCCTATGTGCCTTGTCTGCACCTTGATGTTGAATACTGGACCTTGATGCCGGGCCGGACGCGCCGGCAGCTTAACTGGCCGAGTTCTTTGCGAAAGCGGTTTTGGCGCCCTCTGACATTCCGCCAACCTCAAATGCCCATCCTGTGCCCTGCCCGAACGAAGTCTTTCAGATTTCCACGAAATTGGCCCGGAGTCTTTCGGTGCTCATATGTAGAGCAACAAGACGGGTATCTGTATTACGTATACACATTATCTAAATGTTAGTACATAAGCAGATGAATACGCCACTCATATATAAATATACTAGCGTGCTAATTCATAAAGCTTATATTGAGCATCTAATATGTATATGTAAATGTAAATGTAAATGCAAATGTAAATGTAAATGTGTGTGTGTGTCTGTGTCTGTGTCTGTGTCAGTGTCAGTGTCAGTGTCAGTGTCTGTGTCTGTGTCTGTGTCTGTGTCTGAGAGAATATTCCCCTAAGCCCGGTACATGAACATCGCGGAGGGCCCGGCGTAAAGGCCTAGGAGGACACCCTGCCGACGCAAGGGCCCCCCGAAGGCCCCCTGGACTCTGTGCCCTTCGGCTTGCTCAGCTCGGAAACAGACTGCGCTTGGCATTTCTTTGAACTTTTGCATTAAGGTTTATAGGGTTCAGGCTTAACATTTCAAGGTGCTTCAAAGAGTCGGCGTTGGTGACTTGAAGGACCCATGGGTTCAGGGTAGCATTTCGGGGCTTCGTCACAAGCTCCCGCGGCCACGGCGAGCAAGTTGCGGGGGATCAGTGCGGGTTCTCGCAGTAAAGGAGGTGTTGCAAGGTGTCGCTGCCCCTACAAACCAGAGGCCATGTACCAGAAACCCTAAACGCCCTAAAAGCATCTTGTGGCTTGCACACAACGACGTCGAACTTCCTTTTTTCTTGGTTGCTGTTTAACCCCCCCAGTAAAACTTTAACTTTTAGCTGCCTTGATATGAAATTAGAGGAACCCTAAACTTATGAAGTGATAAAGTTCTAGTAAAGTCCTACCTAGTGTTGGGCCACCTGGCACCTACGGCCAATGGCCACTGCTTCACGCCTGCTTCCGAGCTCTGAGACAAGGGCTCTATAAGTTGGACCATTCTGGGTTCCGGCGGGTCGATGTCTGCTTCAGATGGCTTATGAAGTGATTGGGGTGCCTAAACCTTGAAGTCAACATGGAATTAAAAACAATCTCGATTCTTCAGACTTTTCCGACTGTACACCTGGCATGGCTTTGGGCACCATGCCTTCAGCGCATTGCGCCTCGAACAGCCGAACAGCCCCAGATGCTGGAGCTCACTGGGTCGAGCCGGCGCCCCTGGCACCAAACATGATGCCAGAATTCGGTCAATGGGTGTAGGAAGTTAGAGGCTAGACCCAAGAGTAACCTGCATGGGAATAAACAGGGTGCCTTATTAGGGAACCAACACCCTGAAAAAAGGGAATAAGAGCCTACTCTGGGTCCTTGGAGGTTATGCCATTTTGGCCCTCGTCTTTTTCAAGGTCGTGTTCCACCCGCATCAGGTGATCCAAGCCCTAGGATATACCTAGTCCCTTCTTGAACCAGGGCTCGGAAGTCCCGTGCTATACCTAATGCCTAAACCCGATAAACCCTAAATGAGACCCTAACCCTAAACCCTAACCACAAACCCTCGCCGCCCTTTGCTTCCGAAAGCTTGCGAAGCCGCCTCATGGAGCGGAAGCTCGTTGTTGGGGCGGTTTTGCATTTAAAGGATTTAGGCTGGTGACTGGGGTTTAGGCGGGTGACTCTTGGGCTTAAGGTTTAGACTGGTTGTACTTGGGTGTGTCTACAGTACGGAGAAAGCTGATGAGCGATCCGCCCTCAAAGCCTAAACCCGAAGACCAAGCAGCAGCAATCCGAAACCCAGCCTCACTCCACACAGACGGGTCGTGGGATGCATTGTTGTGCCCGCTGTATGCGTTCGTAGTAACGACTACGGTGACGGATCATTGAAACTGCTGTCCAAGACTGTCACAATTGGGAAAGGTAGTCTATTTTTGCACAGCTGGACAAAACCGCATCTAAGTCAGTTTAGTCTAATGGCTCAGGGTCGCGCCTCCGCGGACAAAGTCAGGGAACGGTATCAAGCACGGCCGCAAGTGTATCGGCCTTCAAGAGTCCGACATGGAGCTAAGATCTCCTACGCTGCGCTTAGAAAATGTGGTGTGGCGGTCCTGAGGCCCCAAAGGCTGCACAGTGTTTGATGTTTGCTGGCAGTTGTATGCTTTGCGTAGCGAGGTGACCCGAATGTTGCGAACGCATGCTCTTTGCTGCCGAGGCAGCACTTCAGCACCCCTCACCCTCCCTCACTCAAACAACTACAAGCGCTCAGAAGGTGTCGAGTCCCTGAACTTGCTTCCCGAAACTCACGCATCTTAACAGCAGAACCGCTCCACGAATCAGCGATGCCGAGCAACAGGTGGAACTTGCTGCACCCACACCTCAGCCAGCACTTCTGAATGACATTGGGCCCGGGGTTGAGGTTGTCGGGTCTACTTCAGGCTTGTGAGGTGACACTACTATACATAACCTGCATCGGCATTGGCAAAACACTGCACAATCCATGAAGTGCAGCACTGCCACGCGGAAAGCTGCATCCTCCTCGACCTTGACGCAAGCACATGTGCCGTAACAAAAAGCTCCAGGTTTGCAACCCTGCACCCTTTTGCTGCTTCAGGGCTCCTTCAGCATCCTGCCTCTACACTTGTTTGTGGACTCAGGGAAGTGTAGCAACTCTTGAGCATGAGCAAATGCCCACCCGACACCTTGTTGATATTGATGCATCATTACTGAACACGAAGGATGAGGAGATATGAAGAGTATGAAACACCCCCCCCCCCCCCCCCCTACGGCTTTGCAGAGGCACGTGACCATATCAGTCTAGGGGGGGCCCACGACTCTGGCGACCCAGCTACACCAGGGGCACTAGGGGCGGGGTAGAGGGGAAGGGTGTAGGCAGGCTTGCTTCACAATGCTCTCTGCCCACTGCCTCCCTCATCCATTCCCTTGGCCCTCGAGCCCTGGCCGACGCTGAAATTATGGTTAATGTAGGGGCCTGAATAATTAGAATAGGGTTTTGAGGGTATGCGGGCGAAAGCCTGTCGAAGTCAATAATTAAAGAAGATGTCATCTGCATCCTCAGCAATAGCTCAGAGCACTGAACAGATCTACAACTTGCTGCAGATGGATTGCAGCAGTAAAAGCATTGCATCATATTTCTGTGACCAAAGGTCCAGAGTCTGTACAGGAATATCATGCGACTTAGGACATCTTCGTGTGAGATTCCTAGGTTCAATCGAGTAATTAAGAATAGGGTTTTGAGGGGTTATCATAGTTTAATTATAAAGGGACCCTAAGGGAATACTATTGGTATAATTATTCCGGCCCCTATACTAAACCCAAACCCTGAAGCCTGAGCGTGGCTACGAGAGAGCGGACGCGACAAATGGCAGAACCAAGCCCCTATATAAGGACCCCAGAATGTTAAGTGCCCCGAGTTGGTCAAGCAATCACAAAGAAACCGGGGGCAACCCCACCACGAATGACAAATAGGTCTTGGGTTTCGGATTTCAGTCCAGCCAGAATACCAACCGCTGCCGCAGAAGAACTCTGAGAACGTTCGATGGACGTTGCCTAGAAGCCCCTACTAGAGTCAGGAACTGGGTTTCAAAAAACCCGAAGCCGAACCACCTTAAACAAAACCCTGGTAACACTCTGGGACCGGCCTGGAGAACCGAGTTTGCCTGCTCCGGTGGGGCCGGCCTGCGTGGCAGAAGTCGCATGAGCTTGCAGGACTGAATTGAATAGGCTCTGCTCTGGGGTCTCGAGTGGTACGCGGAAGACATGCTCTCACAAGGAACATGACACATCCTGGCTCGGATTCGGGGTGGCTGCTTCAATCCGAGCGCTTGAGGCCCTAAGCTGCACAAAGCCCTGCCACCCTAAACCCTAAATCCCTAGCCCTAAACCCTAACCCCTACATCCCTAAGCCTGGTCAGAGAAGTGTAGAGAAGAGGCGGGCTCTGCTGGAATGCGAACTGATCCTCGGCAGATGCTACTTGGGTTGAAGGCGGGGGGTCTTTTAATTTGGGAGTTACTCTTGGGAATGAAGGGGGGACCGAGCCTTCCATGATATCTTTGGCTTTATTTAATACAAAAGCGTAAGTATTCTTATCCTAGAAATATCCGAGATGAGTGAATTAAAAGATCGACGATAAACATATCATGAAGCCTCAGCCGAAATAGAATCAGCATTGTGATCCTCATTCTTCGGACTTAGGTCGACCGCAACCGCACTCCTTCCTCGCCCGCGCTACTCCAGAAAGACGTGCATTTTAATTCTATTATCATTATTTTTGTGTAAGTGAGCAAGCGTGAACATATCAAAAAGATATAAACAACAAAGAATACTAGAAAGAGAAAGAGAAAGAATTAACAAACGCGAGAGATCAGAATCAAGACGACTTTAGATAATGGTGACGTATTCTGTTCTCTCAATTTTGTACGAATTTGCTTTCTATTTTAAATTTCATATCTCTAGATATTAATGTTGGGCCACCCCTAACGGGGGTCAACCACCAGGGCGCTGAGGCTTTCCGGTCCAGAAAACCCTGCATCCTAGAACTCCTAAACCCCAAACCCCAAACCCTAAAACCTGTTCTGGGGCGAGATGCCAACCCCGACAGCGACGGCCCGTTGTTGAAGGCAGCCGGCACAGCAGCTGGCAACCTGAGATCGAATGCCGGTCTGCCTTAAGAACCCAAAGCCGACTTTTTTGTAGGTTCTGATTATAAAACCCCCCTACTACAAAAATGTAGGTTTGGGGTCTTAAGGTAGGCTTAGGATGGGTCAGGGCTTTCAGCATGCCTCAACCAGCAGGCTTAGAGTCTAGGGTTCAGAAGGTCTAGGATTCGTGTGTTCTAGCCGTGCTTTGGTTTCGAGCTCCAGAAGAAGAGCAAAGATAGCCTTATGTTGTCAGGGTGGGGGCAAAGCAAGGGGCCCTCAATCTCCATATCTGCCCAGGGTCGCAGGGACCTTTAAGGGTCTCCCATACAGAACGGCACCTTACTATAAAACGGACCCCCCCCCCCCCCCCCCCCCAGAAGGGACCCTAATTTAGAAAACTACCCGATTGCTTGAAAGCCCAATACGAGACCTCCCTGCAGAGGAAACAAAATTCGCGCGCCCGAGCTGCGGGGGTGCCATCCACGCGTTGTTGGCCGACTGCCGGAGAGCCGACTCCTTGGTCCCACAAAAGGTAAGGGTTTAGGGTTTATGGTGTAGGGTTTAGGATAGTAGCAGGTTCCCCAACTTGTCACTGTGGGTACCCTTTCATGGAACCTCTACAAAGGGAGTATCCCGAGCACGTGCGCAGTGTTGAGGTGTGCAGATCGGAGTCGTCGAGAGGCCGTGGCATTTTATTTTATCCTTCATGAAAGCAAAGGCTCACCAATTCTGGCAACAAAAAAGCCCTGAAGCCGAGACTGCTTGGAAGAGAAGCTCAACAGTAGCGGTCAAAAAGCAAGCAACTTCGTGAAGAACTGGACATCAACCTACAAACTTCAGGCAAAGCCAAAGGGCGAACCAAAAGCTGACTCACGTCGAGCCAGCCTGAACCCTCCAAAGTCACAACCAACCTAAGGCAACCTACCCTAAACCCTAAACCCCAGCATTGAGGCATCCGCGGCAGCAAAGAAGTCCATGTCCCAGGGGTGCGCGTACCCCCTGGAACAGCGGCTATGGGAGTTTCCGAAAATAGGGGTATCGGGTTTAGGGGTACCCTTTTTTGGGGTCCCTTTAAGGGGATTCTTCTCTATTCGGGGTAGGCTATGGGAGTTTCCAAAAAAAGGGGTTTCGGGTTTACTCATTCTTTAAGTCCCACTTGGATAGCAAAGGTCACAGTTCACCTAGCGCTCCCTAGCTCCTCTTGCTTGTCACTCTACGGTTAGGGGTTAGGGGGGATTCCTGCCTTCACCCCCAACCCCCCCCCCTCTCAGTCTCTTGCGTGATGCTCGGGTGGCTTGAAAAGCAAGCCCCAGCCTGGAAGATGCAATCGCCCAGGCGTAGTCCCGCGAGTCCTTCTCCTTACTTCCCCGTAACGGCGACTGCCTGGGCCCAAGCGGAGCCATAAAGCCCTAAAGTAGAGGGAACCCTGATATACCTTCTACAAAAATGGGGCTTTCCCAAGGTTTGATGAAGTAAGGCCCGTTCCTCTCTTTAAAGGGTCTGGAGGCGACTTTAGGACACCCTTTGCCTATTTTGCCCAAGCATGCTCGGAGTTAGCAGGCCTCATAACCGTGTGGAGCTTTCGAAAGAATATGTGGGAGGGGGTGCGGGGCATGATACATTCGACACGGCTTCCATACAAGGAACGCAGCTGACTTCGGCGAGGTCTCCACTTTTGAAACCATCATCTTTCCTCCTGCAAGCATCCGGGGTTCCGAGGTGAGGATGCACCGTGGGGTCTTGAAGCAGGTGGCTCAATTGTCACGTGCGGAACAGTTTCTACGTCGATGGTTCGCCACGTCCTTTGAAGGAAGCATGGAGCTAACAATTCGCGTCAGTCCCTAGGCGAAATGATTTCACGAAAAGAAGCCCACACTTTCTAAGCTAGTGTCTTCAATTGTGCAATCGAAACGGCATAGCAGGAACTGGAGAAAACAACATGATTCTAAATCTTGCACCTGGGACAGCATGACGACGCAGACAAGACGAGACGATCGTTCTCTGGCCAACCGCTTGAAAGCCTTAACGCCGAAAGTCACCCAGCCCACTGGCACTCGAGATGTCATCCGACAAGCCGTGTCAGGATCGCCAGAAGCTCTACGACTCTACGAACCCACTGATCCCTTGGAGCCTTGAAGGTTCCTTCTAACAGGGTTTAGGGGTTAGGGTATTTAGGGTTTAGGGATTAGGGTTTAGGGACCACCTGAGCCCTCTAAACCCGAAATAGATGCGGGTCGGCATCTCTCCTGGTGATTTCTCCTCGGCAGCTTTCGACACTGTCCTTTGCAGGTCTCGCATGCGGAAACCCTTGGGTTGCCCAGCAAACTCTATTGGAAGAGAAGTGTGGGGGGGGGGGGGGGGGGGGTGCCCTTTTTGGCGTCAAGTGGGCTGATCTGGGATCCCAACCTTGAGGGTACTGGGTGCTAGAAGCCCAGAGGAAAACACTGTCTGTTGAATGCAAGCTCTTTGGTTGGGCTCTGGTGCGGAACATCCCTAGCTCACGCCCCTAAGGCAAGAGTGCTGTGGCAGGTCATCGACGTATCTGCAGTTCCACTTAATTCCTAAAGGGGATGTACAGTAGTGCCTTGGGGTGTGCGTGCTTGCGTGTTGCAGGTGGCTGCACAGCCTGGTGAATGCAAGCGTCACTTCGGGTGCCACTTGCGACACCTTGGTCTGGGTGTAGAGCAAGAACCCGGAGATCAGCGTGACCAGAAGACACCTCAGGAGTGGAGGGGGGTCTCGATCCAACAGTTGCCGTGAAATATGTTTGGGGTTTCCGCAATTAGGGGTACCTCATTGGAGTCCTAATTTTCAGGGAGACCTACTATTTGGGGGTCTACTTATAGAGATTCCTTACACGGCAGGCTCCGAAGATGCAAAACCGGTGCAGGCAAAGTTGCAGCACCGCAATCGTCGGCACGAAAATCGCGATGAGGGTCCCCTCGCCCCCGGAGTCAACTGCACAGGCCTGCCGTCACCACACTTCGAGCTGAAGAATCCCCGGCCACCCTAAACCAGCAAAAGTCACATCTCTGCTACCTGGGGGCACATTGTGTGTCCCAAGACCTCAAATTGTGTGTTTCAAGATTGCCCTTGAATCCACTGAACCTGCCCACTCCTCGGATTGCAAGGGAGGAACCCTCAGACATCCCCAGACTCAGGGGCAATGAATGGGCCACTCAATGATGTTGCGCCGATTAACACTATGTAGTTCAGGCCTCCTTAGGGGCCAATTTGGTTTAAATCTGGAGTTTCCCTTGAAGGTTCATTTTAAAAGAACCCTAGGAGAGATGCCCCTTCACATGTGAACCGTTGGGCAGTTATCGGGAGTGGGACTCTCAGGTGTCAGCCGGCCAGTTGGGTTCAGGTATCTATGATTTAATTGGGGCTTAGGGCATAAACTTGGATATCAATGTGAGTACCTAATTTTCCTGCAGAAGCAGGAAAGCCACCAAAAGCTTGAAAATTCAACTCGTGGCTGCGTGAGACTCACAAGGACGGTTTAGTATGCAGAGGGGCCGTTGAAAGAGCGCAACCTGCAGACCCGAAACCTCGGAAGAAGCATTAGAGGTCAATGGCCTCATTCACCCGCCAGCGCTTGTCACTCCAGCAGGTGATGGCCTGGGACTTTGAGCAGGAGCTTCGAAAGAGAACGGTTTGGGTTTTCAGGGTTAGGGCTCGCGGGACCCCAGCTGACCTCGCACATGTTCAGCCCTGTTTTGCTGCCCTGAGCACTGGAGCTGAAAGAGGTTCCCATGAATGAGCCCAGGCCCTCGAAGCTTTGTGAGGCCTGCTACTTGAAAGCCACAACCTCTTCACAAACGCCTGGGTGCGACACACCTGATGGTGGCAGCATGTCCGAAAGTTGAAAAGCCCATGTTCGGGGCATTCTTGGGATGCGGGTACATCTTTCCGCGTCGGTCCCTCAACTTGAATATGAGAAGTACGTGGTGCCGGCAACAGAAACTGATGCCAGAACATGCGACATACAACGCTAGAAGCCCTGACCCAAGAGCAGCAAACCTGCTTGCGACCACTTCGGATCCTGGCAAGTTTAGGGCCTCGTCCTGGAGCTAAGCCCCTGGCCGCCTCGCCGCCCGTCTCCTTGCTTGGGGCTCGGTTTGGAAACCCGAGCCCAAACCCAACTCACATGAAACGCAACAAGCCCAAGCTCCGAAACTCCAAAACCCAAAGCGCCCAAACTGAAACCCTAAACCCTAAACCCTCCGCGGCCTGTGTGGATGGGGGATCAAGGTTCGAGATTTGCCCAAGAGTCCCAAGAGCTGCGGCTGGTTTAGGGGACGGACTTGCAGCTCCGTGGCTATAAGGCTAAGAAAGCTTACAGTGCCTCCATCCCAAGCTCCGCACATTTCTTTTGACAGCGGCTCGGGGCAATGAACACTTCGGACAGCGCCACTGCTCCAAACAGTTCCTAAAAGCCCTCTTGCGACAGGGCTGGTGGATGCATGCCGGGATGACGTGCGGCACCAACAGCCCTAAACCCTAAACCCTACTCCCTTAAGGAACCGATACACGTATCGAAGCCAGGCTTCGCAAAGCGCGGCGCAGTGCTGCCCAACACCTTCGGGGCCGCTGCAAACAAAGCCACGGGCGCCTGGACGGCAGGAAGATTGCATTCGGATTTGTGGGGTAATCCTGAAGCTTCGGCTTGAGAATCGGGGAGCGGTATCATGCTACAATTTGAGAGAGAAATGCAGCTTTCCGCGCTCATGGTTGCACATAGTTTTCAGGCCGTGAGAGGCTGACCTTTGTAGCGTAGAGGTTGCTTTAGGTTGGGGATCACCAGTGCTTGCTTGAACACTAGCTTGACCTTTTGGGCGTTGACCAAATGAGTCCCCTGACTGGCCTCCAGGGCGTGCCACGGCATGGCACATTAGGGTATAGGACTTTACTTAGGGCTTTCGGATCATGGGGCGTGGGGTCCCACTAGCAATCTTGTTCATCCCAAGGACCTCTTCCAGTTTTGTTGCGCAAAAGAACTTTCTGAGAAGGCCCGGCCCGAACCCTACACAAAATTCCGCCCTAGACTTTGGACCAACCTATGTCTCCTTACAAACCGAAACGCACCTGAATTACTTACAGTTGCCCCCTTTTTAAACGCAGTTTATTGGTGCTTACTACGGTTGCGCCTTGGATGACCGGCATGAGCTCTGCAAGGCACAGGTTGGGAATCTCGGGTTCTTGTGTGACCTGGGCCCGGCGCAAGCTTTTTTGTTGTTGAGGAGATCATGCCCAACATGACCCAGTTTGTGGGCTTTCCGAAAAACGGGTACCTGTTTTGGGGGGGGTGGGGGGGGGAGGGGGGGATTCTATTCTGTTTGGGGTATAAAAGGGGTACCGGGACTTGGCTTTAGGGTATCGGGTTCTAGGGTGTTTGCAACTTAGAGCATTCTGGCTTGGGGCTTCTGGGCCCTGAACCCTAAACACCCAAAACCCAAAACCCTAAACCCGAAAGGGGGGTTCAGAGTTGAAGGTTTACATGTCACAATATCGACCTTCCATACTGGCTGGGCATATCAACCTTTGGGTGTGTTAGGGTGTATATAAAGTCAGCGGTTTAGGGTTTAGGTTTTAGGGTTTAGGGTTTAGAACGCCCATAGGCTAACCCTAGTTGTGGGTGTCAAGGAGCTGCTCGAATACCAAGCAGATGAAGTTTACCTACCCAGCACCGAAACTGTAGGCTTTGTCCTTTTGCCCCAGGAACCCCACCCGAAACCCTAAACCCTAAACCTGAACCCTTTCTTTTGCATCTGGACTGCGCCTAAACCCTACACCCTGCAGTGCGAATGGCTGTCAAGACTCTTTCAACTCCCAGAACTCGAACTTCGGATCTCCGTTAGGCTTCAGGGCTCTAAAGTGTAGAAGGGCGCTCCTTCAGTCCCATACTGAACTTGCTGACTGGTTTGCAGTTTAGGGGTTCAGAGTTTATTGCTTCAGTTGCGGCAGCTCAGCACTACCCACACACGCAAATCCGAGCGTCTGAAGTCGTCAGCGACACCGTGGATGACGTGATGGTCTGTGTGGTGGATGTTTCCTGAATCTATGTTTAAGTCTTTTCGACACATACCATACACCTACTTGTCCAGGAACTAAAGGCGAAACCTTCGGCAATAAATTGGGACTTACTTGCTCCACTACCACAGGTTTTCTGCCACCTGCCTAGCAACCTCACACCACAAAGGGTTTAAGGTCCTGGCTTAGGGTTTCGTGTTCTAGGCTTATAGTTCAGTATGTCCTCCGGCCCTAAACCCCTCACAGGTTCATGGTCATGTGGTTTTTGGGCAATCTCGCACAGAGGACAGCACGAGAAGGGTAGGCTGTTTGGGTCTGACGATAGTAGATCTATTCCTCTCAACTTTTCAGTGATTGGTAGGTTGCCAGA